GCTAAGAGTTGGAATTGACTCGACGGCAATGAGTTCTAAGCAATGAGAAGTTTAGTACATATATATATTGTTTTATCATAAGGATTTCTGAACTAATTTTTATTCTCTTTTTCCAAGGAATAAATTGAAACACAGACATGACACGAGGTTCTGGTTGGAGTATCATGTACTAGGGTGTTTGCTGCTTTATCCTCTGGCTGTATTACCCTCATATCCTAACGACTCTCTGTAGTCCTCCCTACAACAGAGCCATTCCACAGGATCCAGAATAAACCCAGGTTAGACTGAAGATCAAATCAGCGGAGATCAAGGGTCTGGTGCCGTTCGACAAAACAGCAGTAACACACCAGGATTTCTGCCTCATCATTTGTCTCTGACATTTAGTAAAAATATGCGGATCATCAAAAGTTGGTAAGTGTTGTGGTTTTGTGCTTTTTGATGGGAAAATAGCACCAGCATATCAATAAACACAGCGACAAGCATTCCATATAAGTGCCCCAAATCAGGGGCTGTGAGCAATGTCTGATTCCAAGCGGGGCCTGGGACTATTTATTAACTGTTTTCCTGCACCACTGTCATGCTACAGGAGTCACACCAGCTCTTCTAACTCCCGCTCTTCATGGGAAGAAAGAGCGTTACTCCTCGGAATTTAAAGCATGCTGGAGCTGGGCAAGGCAAACGTCCCTGGGTGAGGGTAGCCTTACATTCCCCATATGTACCTGCTGGGAAGCCTCTTCCTATTAGAAGCCTCTCTCCCAGCTGTGATGAGAAAAACTGAAAGACAGCGGGGCAGGTGGAGTCAGGGGCCAGGTGCCTGCCATCCGTTCCCTGAGACGGCCCTGCAGACTGCGCCGGGCGGGCCTCCTGCTTGACCCCCTGTCATCCGTCTGATCATGGTCCCAGCCAGCCACACGGATAACTCAAAACAGAAAGAACGTTCTTATCAGGTTTAGACACATGGTTACGTGATCTAATGAAGCCAATTTACTTTTCTAATTATGTGTTCAATAGTTCATCCATAAATATTCTGTTGTTAGGTGCCATCAAGTGGATTCCGACTCATAGGGACGCCAGGTGACAGAGTAGAGCCACCCCATCGGGTTTTCTAGACTGTAATCTTTATAGGGGCAGATCACCAGGTCCTTCTCCTGAGAAGCCCCTGGATGGGTTCAAACTGCCAACATTTTTGTTCTTCAGCTGAGCACTTAACCATTGTGCCACCAGTGCTCATATATATATATATATATATACATACACACAGATACATTTTTAAAAACATAACCACAATGTTATTACCCCACCTAAAATTTATCAATTAGTTCTTATAAATAATATCTAGTATGAGCTCAAATTTGTTGGTCTCATAAACGTTTATTATTGGTATGCATGTATTTTATTTAATCAGATGTTCATTCAGACAGATGCTTGTAATCACTCACATAGTTTGGGCACATATTGGCTGGGAGGGAGCCAGGAGGCAGAGGCTGAAACCATCTCTGCCTTCTAACACATGGGGTCACCATAAATCGGGATCCACTCAAAGGCAATGGGATTGGTTTCTTC